CGTAACGTAACGTAACGTAAACGTAACGAAACGAACGAAACGAACGAAGAACGAAGAACGAGAGAGAGAGAGAGAGAGAGAGAGAGGAGAGAGAGAGAGAGAGAGGTCATTTGAGCATGTGGTCATACCCGAATCGTTTGATGAAAGATCTGTATGCAGGCAACAAAACTTCAGCCACTGCCAACCTTAGCGATTCTCGCAACTCGCTGTCAGGAACAGTCCATTGAGACTGTCTCTGATGAAGTTCCTCAAATTGCAAGTTGAAATTCTTGAACCTGAATCAAGAAGAACAGACAAATTTCATCAGTTACTACCTCAATTAACACTAGAATTTGACTTGGCCAATTAAAAAAATAAAAACAAAACTCTACTTCTAATGTGGTTTCCATACTTGTCTTTCACTGCCACTCTCGAGACCCCACTGCTGTTCCCACTATCATTTCCCATCCCACTACCACCACCAGATGAACTCAAACCTTGCACAGAGAGACACTGAAGGATCTGGAAAAGATAAAAGAAGCACCACTTGTTAAATTCAACCAAAATATTATCCCACAGCACGTCAGTTGTCAAATGTGGTGAAGAGTTATATATGCCATGCACATCAAGAGCCGATCAAGTCTCTTTGCTTTTATAAAAGAGGGTCCTTGAGAACAAATGACCATATTAATAGCTCTTTCTTCTAGTTAGCTGGTGGTAGTTATGAGAAAGAAAGCAGATGGTTTTTCAAAGAGAGATCAGAGCACTTCATCAACCGGCTAGGACTCCTACAATGTCATTGTCTGGGCTACCTTGGAGGGGATTCCTAGAATGCCAACTATGGAAATAACAAAGAGGTCAAATCCTGCGGAGATATACTGAAAAGATTTACGAAGTCTGAAAATTGATAAGTTTGTATCCCAAGTACATAATCTCACATGAGAATATCATAAAAATGAGGTAACAACGTGACTCCAATGAGCATTTAGCTACCACACTATCCAAGGAAAATTTTGATAAAAAATAATAGAGAACCCTATATGATGGTAGCAGAAATAGAATGGAAATTTCCGAAGGTTTTGGAATGAAGGAATGCTCTGCCAAACCTAAAATCTGGAAGATTTTTAAAAATCACATGTATCAAATAATTCCAAGAATCCAAAAAGGAGAAAATTAGAAAGATGTCAAGCTAAAGCCCACAACTCTTGAAGACCAAAATGGGCACGCTCAAAATGGTGCCATACGCGCATGATTTACAAAGAGAGCATTGCTATCCAGCATGAAAATGAGTGAACTAGTCTAGCAAAATAGAACCTTGCCCCATGCAACTCTCTTATACTGATTGGCGTGCTGCTGAACTATTCTTCTATGCCTTTGCACCCAGTCATCTCCCAACAAATCCTTTGCTTCTGACCTGACAATGGAAGGAGTATTAAAAATATATACTTCTGACCTGACAATGGAAGGACGATTAAAAATATATGTACAATGAGGGATGTGACTTTCTTTCAAAATACCTGCGAACTGATCTGACCATGTAGTGTATATTATTCATGAGAAAAAGTTGGGTCAATGCTGGATCCTTGTAATTCTTAGACTTCCCCTCCAAATTAGTCTGGAGAGCAGCCATTATTCGCATTGTTACTGTAGCCAACTGGGAATTTGGACCACCTCCATTTTCATTTTCCTGGAAAAGCTGCTTCAATGTAGATTGGTAGCTGCATAATGTTGGTACAGGATTCCATAAAATCACTCACAAGCAGTATAATGGATCAGAAAATACAATGGATATAGAAATTGAGGCAAAGAATAAATTATGAAGGAAAGCTGACTTATTATGGTAGCTAAATGCTTCGTTATTAACTTTCTAACATGAAAACTATAAATTTTATATCAGCTTATAATTATGGCTTCAGGGTCCCACGGAATTATGAATTGGTCCATAGAGGATGCAGCTTAAAACAGAGAGGGGCAGCATTTGAGCAGTCATTTCCTAAGATAAAGGTTGTATGTGTTTTGGGTGGTTAGCTACCAACATAAACCTAACCAGTAAACACAAACATATAAAATTGGGAATCTAGTGTAAGTGGCCAGAGGCAGCCATCAAGACTGATAAACAACTGTTTTTTGAAACAAACAACCGTTGGGATAAAAAAAAAAAAGGATTGACAATAAATTGTAACTGAATGAGAAGAGCTGGATTTTTATTATGGCTTCTCACATCATAGATTCCCAGTACGGCCATTGACCTTCTCAGAATGAATAAGTACTATCAAATGTTGTAAATTTGTTGAGTTTTAGGAGGTTTTGGAACGAGAGAATAATGGAATTTTGGGGAGGTTGTGCAGTGGCGAGGGGAGGGTGGGGGGGTTGTGGACAAAATAAGATTGGCCATGATCTCATAGGTATTGGTTAGAAAATAATTTCTGGGGTTTAAGATTTGACACTATCCTAGAATTACAATAAAATATTGTTGTGTTAGCGGATGAAAACTCCAAAAAGAAAGGTGATAGTAGCCAACCTCATGACTTAACTCAAGCTAGGTTTTGTTGATCATTTGAAACTGTATGCCTGGCTTGGGTTCGGCCTGGTTGGCTATAGCCCTGACCTGGCCTGTTGGAAGGGCCAGGTCCACACTCTTCCTTTATATGTGGCAGGGCAAAGGCTAGGCCATGAACTGCCCAGCCTGCATCGTGCCGGACCATGATCTGCACAGCCCAGGCTGGGCCCTACAGGCTAATATGTAGGCTGAGGCCAGCAATGCCAGGACGAATCGCCCAGCCCATTGCCAGGCCAATTTTAATGGCAATCTGGCATTACCAGAGTTGAGCAAGATAGTCAAAAAATGAGAGGGAAAAATCCCAACGTGAAAATTTTTGGGGTAAATATAGGAAGAACATATCAAATATCGAAAGGAGTGTGTGCAGACCAGATCATTCTGAGGTCGCAACTCCAAGGGCCATTTTCTTTCATTGGCCAGGGTGCCGGAGTCAGACAACATTCCGGGATAGGCAAACCTGCATTTAAGGTAAGGAATAGTTGCTTCACACAACCTTTGTGTGATATCAGCACCAAGCCATCTACAGAGGGTTGGTAATAGACTTTATGTTCCTTCCCATTGAAGGCCATTTAGTCTCCCTGGCTTTGGAGCATATTTTTGTAGGTCCATTATTAGCACCCCTAGCAATTGAAGGGGGTCTGACTGAATGTGATAACATAGACAGACGTCACTGTCACTTGACAGTGGCATTCGGAACACTTCCAAAGCAGTAGAAGCTACTACTTTGCATATACAGCCATGCATAGGGGTAACTAAAGGCTAATTTCTTGCAGATAAATTATTAGGTCAATTCTAAGTCTAAGAATTCTACGCATAGAGGGGTAACTAAAGGCTAATTTCTTGCCTATAAATTATTAGGTCAATTCTAAGTCTAAGAATTCTACGCATAGAGCTTAGCATAACTTTAGATTCTTATTAATAAAATGTGCTTAAAAACAGACCTATTTTCTATAAAATTCCGATAAACCATAATTTGTAAACAGTAGCATTTAAAGAACCCTTAGGGCAATAAACGCAAAAATCCATGATTTAAAGGTCAGAAACAGCACAGCTCTTAAAATCTCAAAGTCATTAAAATGAATTATCAATTATAACATAGTTAGGTCTGCAGGTACAGAATGAAAAGAATGATTGAATTATAAATAGTATCAGATTATGGGGGGGAAGGTAAAAACCAAAACAGGTAGCTGCCTCACCATTATTGTTACCATGAGTTTTGTGATTATTTATTGAACATGAATTTCTAATATTTAAGAAATTAATATCAAATTCTCCAGATAAATTGTCAGAGAGAAAAACTTACTCAAATAGGAACTTCACATAGTTAATTACATAACTAGTAAGAGGATGAACAGTTCCATCCAAAACTGCAGTCTTTGTAGCATCCTTTTCAACTGCTTCTTCAAAATCGCCAAAAGTTTCATGAGCAGTTTGTGCCAGCCGCTTTGTTAAACTCAAAGCTGCTTCTCGCATTTCAGTACATGCCTTTCCTTCAAAAAGTGTTTCAATCTGCATGGCACATATACGCTAATTAGTGAAAACGTGAAGGTGCAGAAATTTAATCTGGCAATGATCAAATTACCATTCGACAAGCGTTTCCAATTTTTTAAAACTTCATAGTTACCGGGATCTCCCAACATAGGAGGCGATCCCACTCCGGAATCTCGCTCTAGCACTCTGAGAAAGAGATCTCAGTTTTTTAATTTTGGGATATGGATCCCCATTGTTAGGGATCTGGATTCCTATTATCAGGGATCTTGATTCCAACCTTAACAACCAAAGCACCAACCAAACATATGATTTTCTTTAGTTATAGCTAGCTAGCAACACAACTATATTTTTGATAGTCACATTGCTTGCTAGCTATAAATAATGGGATCCCTATTTTAAAGAGTATATACAACCATTTGAGAGCAAGATCCCCAAAGGGTTGGGATGAAGATCCCAAAAGGTAAGGTTCAAGATCCTGAAAAGGTTGGGATCTCTAGATCCCGAACATATGCATTTTACGGATGGCACTCTTAGCCATAGGGATTTTCTAGCATTTCACAATCCCCAGCTCCCAATCCCAATCCTAATACCGCTCTAGGTCCCACTCCTGATCCCAACAACCATGCTTCAAATGAATTTCCAATTTCTTGATATTGCGGTCAAATTAAAAAACATTCAAAATTGTGGCATGAACTGGAGCAACAAACTCACACTCAATTTAGTTCGTTGAAGAACATTGGAATAGCCCTAAAAACAAAGGACCTAGTTATCTTTAATTCTCATCGCTTTTAAGGCATTATTAGGAAGAACAATAATCCATGTGGGAACTATTGGATCAAAGTGGGATTCAACAACAGAGGTTAACTTGAAAAGTTTGATGGCCCTGAGGCCATCCAATGTTCCTCTGATCCTGTATATCTACCGTCTACTAGCAAAGGTTGCTTCATGCTCAATAGATTGGTGATGTTGGTTTACCTTGTGCATGCACAACTTTGTATAAATTGGAACCCATAGCCAATAGGCCTAACAAACCTAATTTAGGCGAGGGGGAGCAGCATATGTTTCATGAGACACTTCAAAAAAACTATATGGGGGGGGGGGGGGGGGATTTTTGAAAATATCACTGTACATGCATTTAAAGAGACATTGGGTAACTAAAAGATCGTTGAAGACTTAGTTCATGAGCGTCTGAGTTAACTTAATATAAGATAATTAAACAAAGAGGATATTTCTCCAAAGTATCCCAGATGTACAAGAGACTTTCGTCAATTTAAGCCAACCTCTAGATAGAAAACAATTCAGAAGAATAATGAAGACAAGGCCCAAGAACCATATCATGAAATAAAGAAAAGAAGAAAGGACAACACACACAAAATCAAGATTTAAAAAATGAAACAAATGAAAGAGACTCACAATATGGTACAACTGATCAAACACAATTTTTTTTAACAATGGGGTTTTTCTTTGGAGACACAAAACAGTAACTGGAAAGTTGCTGAAATTCTCTCCCCCCCACCATTAATCAACAAAATTGCCGTTGAAATTCTAGACTGAAATATTTATTAATCCATCAATATTGATTAATTAGACTCTTATTCAAAGCTTGTTTCATGAAGATACAGAAACAAAAGAATTTCAATTACATCATATGCCTGGAGCACTCTTCCATATGGATGCTGAGATGCCTTCGAGGACACTTGCTCTTAATATTACCAATTTTCATTACAATTTTAGGTTATTTGGTCAAGGTCATGACCAATGCACATGAAACTCCAACATACATCAGATCTCATGCATGAATAATAACATAAGAAATAAGTTCATATAAATAAGATTATATACAGAATATCAAATGGATCCTAACACATCAACGAGCAAAACAGGGACTCCTAACACTTGCTAGCAGCCAGCAAAAGTATGGAAATAAGTGCATAAACACTATTAGAAATAGGAAGTTGGTAACATAAAGATGTATAAAATTTGAAGCAATTCCAAATAGAGGCATGGATCCTGAACACTGAGTGTTAAACGGGAATAAAATGACCATAGATTGCTCCAGGAAAAAGCACAAGTATATAAAGCCATCTTATGAGCTGTTCAAATTGCATCAGGAAAGCGGTACACCCATGAATTGGCTAACTCCTAATTAGAAGGATGCAATTTTTCCACTACTGCAGTTTCTACTTTTGCTAATCAAAGTAAAATATGAAAGTTGATGGTTAAGGAAAAAAATAGAAAATGATCCCCTTTCCCCCAGACAATTCTTCCAAATGCAGTAAATGTTGCTTAAGTTATTAAAAACATAAAGCCAACAACTGACTAATTTACCACCATTCACTTTTCCAAAAAAAGAAGATATAAACCCAGGTGACAGTTTGAGAATGGAATACAAGATACCTCTGGCTGTAGTTCATGCATTACTTCATACATATCAAGAAGTACAAATAGTTTTTCAGGGGATCTCTTGCTTTTGGCAATAGCCTCTCCAAAACTAAGGAGCATCGTGACACTGTTTGCAGTTACTTCAGCAAAGCATTGATCCCTGAGACTATCGATCCCTTCAAAAATCTGATCACAAACTTTTCTCTCCCCAGTAAATAGTAGTTTGACCTGTTTCAAACATGAAAGAATAATTAACTATTCAACTAAAACAATGATCATATATCCAGGCTGTGGAAGTCTGGACAATATCTTACAGCAATACGCATATAGTGAATCCAATTGCCAATTTTAGCCTCCAAGACCTCCCACTGCATCTTTTGTACATCATCTTTACTAAGCTTTTCAACACCAAGCTTGCGAAGGCTTTGCTCCATAATAGAAGCACGTGTATCCCTGAGCGTGCAAAGTTGAATGTCAATCCTGAATGATGCTCAATGCTAGGAAAAGCATGGGAATCAAAACATCCACACAAACAAGAAACATGCTTTCTTCATATGAGCACAACATTTTCACGTCCCTAGGAAAATTGGGGGAGCATGTATGAGAAAACTTTCAGAAATAGTACAGAGAATATAAGCACTATAAATAATACAGGTTAATGGGAATTACTCAGAAGAATTCTTCTAATTTCTTTCTCTTTTGTCTTTCATTTACTTGAACAATAAGTAGTGCATAATAAAATAGTATATTAGGAAAATAAACAAATAGAAGATCTGCTTAGGGTTAATACACTATGAAGAAAAAAAAAAGATAATCACATTATCTTCCAAATGCCCACGTCCATTGTCAAGAAGTTGGGCTTACATGATACGTGTGGCTTCCTATGGAATGGAGCGCGTGCCACCCATAAGCTCTATCCGAGTCAATGGGAAATGGTTTGTAAACCTAAGTGGACAGGCAGGTAAGCTCAGCATTGGGAGCCTCAAGCACTGTAACAGTGAACTGCTAGGCAAGTGGTAGCGGTGTTTTGTGCAAAGCCATAATCACCATGGCAGCATGTTGTGAAACATAAATACGACACTAACGACCCTGGGTGACTGCCAAACGGCCCGGACACTGCCTGAGCATCACAGCCTGGAAAACCATCACCAACCTGCTTATTGAAAGTCTCCAATCAAATCAGATTTGCAGCCAAGAAAGGCAATCAAATTAGATTTTGGCATGATCTGCGACATGTCTTCCCTAGTCTCCATCATAATGCAGCTAAAAAGGACATCACAATGTCATGATCCTATGAAATATTTAATGACCAGCTTGTGCAGACCCCCTGCTTCTGCAGAGATCTCAACGGCTTGGAAGCCTCGGACCTGATCTCCCCCTCGGCAGTACCTCAATGCCATTTTATCCCAGACAACAAGACAGAATTCTATGGTCCCCTTCCCCATCCGAGTCTTTCTCAGCCACCTCCTATACGGCCCTCCCCTACCCAAACCCAAGCCGGGCCATAGCTGGGCTTTCTCACTATCAAACTGATGTATTAGGTATGGTAAAGAGAAGGAATCAATTCCCTTGGTTTATCCACTGCAAGTTCACAACTCAAATATGACCCTTCCTACGAGATTTATTGAACCTCTTCTGGGTCAACCCAGCCTCCATAGAAACCTATTTCATCTTACATATCACCCACTTTACTGATAAGGGTATTTCACTCTGGCTCTCGCAATGGCCACCACAATTTGGAGGCATCTAGATTTCATGACACAGGTGAAACTTCATAGAATCCGAGAGTACCCTGGCATCCATCAAAGATCAAAACAAGGCAACAATCATGTTTTAGGCCCGAATCTGCAAAGATCTTAAATCATACTACCCTTTGGACATAGAGAACCAATGGAAACACATTATACAGTCTACCCAGTCAGAATCTCAAGATCATCTCTGTGGGAGCCACCTCCTCAGCAAGTTACACTTCCATGGAAGTTCCTGCAGTAACCCGGTGCCTGCAATGATTGGGCATATCTTTAGAAACCACAGAGGACACACCCTACTCGCGTTTTCCAGCCATGCAGGAATCGCAGATTCCACCCATGCCAAATCCAAAGCCCTACTTGTGGGACTCCAAAATCTCGAACAGGCCTGGGTCAAAACCTAGTGGTGAAGGCTATCTCTCATAACAGTCATAACTTGGGCGACAGGTGCCTCACCTCACTCCTGGCCATTGGAGAGCATCTTCAGTCAAAATTTTCACATATATAGGTCAATACAAGTCTCTTTCAACAACAATTAGAGAGAGGAAAACGCCATAACCAATTCCCAGGCCAATGATGGGGTCGGCTTACTGGCCCTACTCAGCTCTCAACCGCAGCTAGTAGAAGGAAACTGAGCCCGTCATTTGGACCAAAAGATCCTTCTGAACAAACAATAGTTGCCACATTCTTGTTGTCCTTGCCATATCATACCCAATTTTGCATACCTCATAGGCTTGTACAATTAACAAAAAGTGAATTCACTAAAAAAAAGAAGAACCTAATCACAGGCATACATGAATACATTCCATCACCTGTGGTTTGTGCGCACACAACACAAACAACCGAAGCAATAAAGGAAAAAATACAGAGGGAAGTAGGTGCACAAACAAAAATTACAGAAACAAACAAATGGTGAGACCATAACAGGAGAACTCCTACAAAAGTAAATTAACAAACCTGTATGTTTTTAAGCATTGCTGTTGATGACCAGCTTGCACCATACGAGTAGCCAAATCATGGAGCAATGGCATTATCCTTGGTGGAATAAGAGTTGGAAGTGTGGGGACTACACCTTCTGTACTTTTCACCTGATGGTCAGGTTGATGGCCAGGACTCTTACCACTTGAATCACCTTGGTCCCCATGTGACCCAGTAGAAGGCCTCATAGAGTTTGGGAGGCACTCAAAAAGACGATCAGGTTCCACAACCTTGCTGAAATTCAAAATTCAGAGCCTCAAAATGTTTATGACAATTGAACAATAACTAGGTATAAAGTATCACAACAAGAATCATACCACTGGACTAATCACCCGACAATTGACTTTTGCATATTAATCCAATGGATATTTCTGTTGTAGGTTAGAGATGCATAGGATCAACTCTCTACATGCAATTGGTAAGAAATTGCAAATTGCATACAACTTTTTCCAAGATAGTAGAGTTTTTGGCATGCCTGTGCTGGTATATATGACATCAGAATCAATCCTAAGCTAGTTTAACTCTTTAATTTTCTTGTGTTTGCAAAAATATAAATTGCAGACCATTGAAGAGGTTCCCCAATATTATTAGGAGAAATACTATTCCTAGAGAAAGACTACACCAGTGGTATTCCTAGTGGTCCCACATAAAGTTTTAAATGCAGCTCCATAAATGTTAATGATCAAAATAAATACTTATTTACAAGAATGAACCTGTAAGCGGAGAGGAGTTGTTTAAACTCCTCTTCCAGCTTTTGCATGGCCTTGGCAAGCAACCCATTGGCATGATTAAGGACACCATCACTGCTTTTGAAGCTTTTGTTGCAGCTGAAAAACTGAACATTGCTTCTTAACTGATCAACGGCCTCTAGGTAGCCACCCAAGTCCTCATGTGGCCCTTTCATTATTTTGGCCTCAACCTACATTGTTTGGCAAGGGACAAAAGCAGTAGATAAACACAAACAGATTACAAATTCACAATAAAATCTTGCCATATTAAGCAGGAGGACTTCACTTATCAAAATTTCAATGATCAGTTAAGAAGTTAGCATAATTCACCATGTGTTATACCATATAACAATCTTATATTGAGAAAGAAGGAATATCCACAAGCAAACCCAAATTCACAAACCTGGCGAGAGATGTCAAACTGAGCTAATATAACCTCAGCTGACTTTAATGTTTTATCAATGTTTTCATGGGCTTTTCTGATAGCATGCGTACGGACCTGTAAAGTTAAAGAGTAGGGTAAATTAATAAACCGATAAACACGTCACTTTGACATGGATATCCAAAAACCTCTCACTATGAATCTCCAGAAAGAAGGTTCTAACTCAATCATTCACATCGTTTCCAACACATGCAATCAAGTTCTTAATACAAAGTGAATTTCCCCAAAGTCTGTTCAATCAACATCTATAAAAACAAGAAAAACATATAAGTATGTTTCAAGAGTAGCATGAAAACCCAACAAGAAATACTTGTCTAGCCTAAACTGTACATGGATGTTTGCTTTCGTTAAGCCTTGTTATTGGGAAAGTTTTGCCCAAAATCAAAGTACCTAAAACGTCTTAATTGATTATATTACAAAGCACCACTTTTTTGTCCCATGAAGGGAACGCTTTTGTGAAAATAAATAAAATTAAAAATTAAAAATGAAAAATCATATCTTGCACAAAAAAAGCCCAATTTCAACAACATCAAAAGTTATAATGAATGAACATAAAGTTCCCATGTCAACACAGAAACCCTAGCTTCAAAATCCTAATCTTTCACATCAAACAACAATAAATGACACATAAATCAACCTGCATCATCACATTTTGAAGAAATGGGTTTTGACCAGACAAAAACTCAAAAACGAAAACTTAAAATGCATTACGCATGTCAAATTAACAACCTTTCCCCCCAAAAACCACAATTTCCATTATCAACACCCAAATATTAAATGATAACTGCCATTTATGAACTCCATCTACAACTAGACTATGCCAAAACCATATAATTACTCAACGATCCATCAAAATTACTAAAATCAAGGTCAGCTGCAGCATTCAAGAAAAATCAAGTTTTCACCATGAATCTACAAGAAGTTTTACAATAAGGTTTCATGAGATTTAGGGTTAGAACTAGGGTTTACCTGGATTGGTCGCATCGCTGCTTCAAGGGCCGAGAGCCTATGATCAAAAGAACCCAATATAGAGACCATGTTCTCTGTGATGGTCTGGCTCTTTTGCAAGCTCTCTTTCATAGAGGCCGCGCGTTTCTGCAAGCTCTCCATGGCTAATGGAGCGCCCATTATCAGAGAGAGAAAGAGAGATCAAAGCTTTTTAAGCCATGGCTGCTTGTTTTATGTGGAATTATAATGGCAGCCAGCAAACAGGTTGGGTATTGTATATGGCACTTTCTCTCTCTTCATGCCATCATTTTTTTAGAGAGAGAAGATTACATAGGAGGCACCAACGCACCTGTCTGGTAATATAGGATTCCCAGCACGTGCTCTATGCTACGAAAGAGCTTTGAATTTTTTAAGAGAGAGAAAGTCGTGTGTAATTTCGACGACAGAAAATGGTAGTTGAAAAATATTTTTCATGAGATTAATTGTGAGTGTTTATTTCTCATATCCAAATTATATGAAAAAACTGCATTAGGATCAATTGTGTGGAAAATTTTCCATCTGATAATTTTTATTTACGTGACATGTGTACCAAATATGAATGTAAATAAATTCACCTAAAAAAAATTCTTATTATAAATAAAACATGGGTGCAGTTTGCCTACAGATCCATTAGTAGGTGTAGAGATAAGGTGCACCTCCAAATTTTATCATGATATATAATTTTTATGTAAAACGTTTTTAAGATTATCTCAAAATCTATTTTTATATCCAATTATAAAATTTTAAATTTAAAAAATATTTAAAATCAATTAGATCTATAAACATATGGAAATCTTGAAAATGGACGGTGTAGATAATATGTTGTAAAATGCACTATTTTTTATACTTAAAATCTTTTTATTTTTCATAGTCATACATCTCGATGTCGAGATGATCAATCAAAGGGTTTTTCAACATTAAAACTACCTTTTCCAATGGATTTTTGAGGGGCATCCGTAGCTCTACATTATAAGGTAGCATCCTTACATAAATTTTTTTCATAAGATATTATCATATATGTTACTAAACAAAAGACTTACAATAAATAAATAAATAATTATATATATATATATATATTAATATCAAAATTGATTTTTTAAATACAACACGTTCATATGCTAGTTAATGGATGGGGGTGGAGAGATTTGAAATGACATCGAATGTATTGTTTCATAAATGGGAGTTGCGAGATTCGAAGACATTAAATATTTTCTTCGTAAAGTTTTAAGAAGAAAGATTGAGAAAAAAGTTGAAGTTCAAAAAGTATCAAAACCCTCAAAACAAAATATCAAAATATAAATGTGGTATCCTTGATATGTTAAACACTTGTTTAAGCATCCAACTTTTATATTTTCCTCTCACCATCTTCTTCCTGACGAAGGCTCCTCTATAAAACGAGACTCTTTCTAATTACCCATCCTTTACCTCTTCTTCTTCACCGCTTTATTTTTCTTTTTCTTTTTCTTTTTTTTATGAAGGCACATTTTTCCCTCTATTTTTTTTCCATTCCTCTCGCGGTGTAAATGGTTCCTTCTTTTCTCGTATTACATTTTTTGTAGGAACTTTCCCTCAACTCCGGGACTTTTCCAAACTCTCTGACTTTTGAATGAAAATGAGATAAACATACTGGATAATATATGAAGATAAATTTAATTTATTTTTTGGGGTTTAGAGGTAAAAGGCACCTAAGTGCTACCAAACCCAGTTTAGGTTATCTTTTGGGATTTGAGGTAAAAGATAATTAAGTGCTTGCTGCCAAACCTAGAGTCCCAAGGTGGCCATAAATTCTTTTTTTTTTTCTTCTTTTCTCTTTTTTTTTTTTTGAATGATCGAATTGCCAATTAAGGAATTTGGTGCATATCTCTTTTCTCTCTCTCTCTTTAAGGGGGTTTGAATGTGTTTAGATGTGTTTCCCAATATCATATTGGTTTTTAGTTTTATAATTTTTTTAACATGTTGCTTAATTATTTCAATTTTAAGAAGGGAAAATTGTAGATGCCTCCAACTTGAACTTTCTAAACAACCTTATCCCAACCAAACTTTTTTTTTTTGCCACTATAACCCCATAATATACTTTTATAGGAATACCTCCAAATCAAAAAAGACCAAAATACGCTTCTCTAAGTTAAAATGCCTCTTTCTTGACAATAGAGTTATGAAAAAATTGGGGTCCAGCACTTTATTAAGTCGGTTTGGCACTAAATGTTCCTGGAAAACTTAGGCTAGCAATTTTTAAAGGCGGTCCGGCACAAATGTTCCTAGAAAATAGGGGGTTTGGCATATTTTACACATGGTTCGGCACATTTTGATTCTCGCATATTTTGGGTCCGGCATAACCATGTCTCGGTCCGATATTTTGTTCTCTCTGTCCAACACTTTTTTTTCTCGGTACGGCATTTTGTTCTCTCGGTTCGACACTTTTTTCTCTCGGTTCGGCATAACCATGACTTGGTCCTCCGACAGTTTAGATATTGGCCTAAGGTTGTCTTCACGTGGGTCTGACACTTGTGTCTCTCAGTTTGGCACTATGTTCATGAGTCCATGTTAGGTCTGGCCCAACATAATTACTTCTATACAATGTATTTTCATCAAAAAAATATGCCTTTTTTTATTTGGGGGGTATTTCCAAGAAAGTTAATTTTAAGGTAAAAATTGCAACAAAACAAAAAACAAATTGGTTGGAGGGAAGTTGTATAAAAGGCCAGCTTTTGAGGGGTTTTTATAATTTTCCCTGTTAGGAAGGTCAATGATGGGAATGAAAATCTTATGTTTCTTATGAAGTGGATCTTTGGAAGATAAGAGATTTCATATGGTAAAATGGAGCGTTGTGTATTTTGTCCAAGAAGGAAGGTGGATTGGGTATCAAGAGGCTCAAGCTTATGAATGAAGCAATATTAACTACGGTATAGATTTGTGACCAACGTTGATTAGAAACAAAAATGGGATTGAGAGAAAGGGTGTCTTGACAAAAAATGACTTTCGATACAACAACGGCTATTTTTCTATGGAAAGGAGTTGATTCTCCTTCCAAATAATAAAGTTCAGGTCAAAGATGAAGTTAAAATCTTATTTTCGGGTGCATAGTGGATTGGAGAAGTAACTCTAAAAATTCTTTTCCAAGAGCTATATTTGAAATCAATTAATAAAAGAGCATTGCTTAGGGACATTGTTTCAAGGGACAGCTGAAATCCAATTTGAAATATCAAACTTAACAGTGGGAGGGTGAATTCTATCATCTTAGATCAATACATATCTTTGAATTCATTCCATTAATTTTCCGATGAGAGAAGATGCACTGATTTGGGAACACAATCCATTAGACATTTCACGGTAAGGTCTCTATGTATACACATGCTTAATGATCATTATATGTGAACAATCATAGGGGTGAAGAAAGTGTGGAGCTTCAACTGTCCTCATAGGGTGATATGGTTGGTTGTTAGAGATAAATGCCTATCAGTGGAAAAGTTCACATCGAGGGCACAATTATCATCATCTAAGCCTTATCCCAACTATTTGGGTTTGGCTAAACGAATCATGTTCCACAATTATGCTCTACCAATGGTCATTCTTTCAATCAAATCAAAAGTCACTATATCTCTTCTCACTACTTCCATCTACACATTGGACAAGAGTGATAAGAAAACCAATGGTCATCTTTTTATTCATTGTACTTTGGCCTTGACTTTATGGTGAAGGGTCATCTTTTTATTTTATTTGTGTTGGGCAGCTCCACATATTGCCGATGGCTTAATGGCTTAATTGCAAAGTGCTCTTCTCAACCTTCACTAAAAAAGGTATTCGGTTATGGAGAGTGTTGATGGTAGTAGTTCTATGGCATATATGGAAAGAGAAGAAATATAACCTTCCAAGACAAGTGTTGAAGGTCTAAATATTAAATTTTCTATCTTGTGGATTAGAAGATATTGAGTTTCCTATTTTGTAGAATTACAGTTGTGAAGAGAGTTATTTCCTAAAAGACAAAAATTATAATTCTATAAATCTCTAGTAAAGGAGAGTAATCCTTATGAATGAGAATCTGGTTTACCCTCCATGGATGTAGGTACAATTGCCAAACCACATATATCTTGCTAATATTGTTGAATACTCTCTCTTTGGTCTCTATTTCTTTTATTACAAATTTTACATGGTATCAAAGCAGGACAATTGATCGCTAACAATCTATTGCTAGCCAAAACAAGTTCCACATGGTGATGTTCTTCCGATCCATGAGTTGAGTCGTTCATTGTTGGACGGCAGTTGCTTTCAACTAAAATTGGGGGTCTTCGTTTCTTTTCTCAAGTCATGTTGACGGTTCTATTTTTCCTTTTCAAGATCATTGATGGTGTTGCTTTTCCTTAACCCCATGATGAGGGTTTAACAAGAAAAGTTATGGTGCACAAAGAAGATCACTGAACAAGAAGAATTTGGAGTTGACGGTGGTGCTTGTCCTTAACTCCTTGATGATGGTTTGATGAGAAAAGTTATAGTGCGCAACTTAAGCCATGGTATCTTGCACATAGTTGCATATATTTTAGCAGACATCCCAAGAAAAATATTGTTGTTGCCTACACACTATTTTTTAGTAACTCACTAATATGCCATCTCTAGGTATATCTTTTTGGGTTGTTTAACTTTGAAAAGCAACCCTTCTTTCAATGTTGAAAAGGTTTTATTTTTGGAAAACCAGTTTGACTTGCAAACTATGGACTCTTGGTGTGCTATTTCGATGACACTTTTTTATTTTTCTCAAAATATTCATTAGTCCAATATTTGTAAGATTTGGTTTGAAGGAAAGCAACATATTATCGTGATTGTGAGTAGTTAGTTTACAAGTTGTTAGATACATATTGGCAATTTCTAAAGAGAAGAACAATATTGCTCCTTGGGAACTTCAGCTGGTTCCGATTGAGGCGTCTTCTATTCATTAATTGCTTTTATTTATTAGGTCAGTCTCCTGGCTCTCTTTATCTTTTCGTAATAGCAAATTCAAAACCTAACTCCAACATGAAACTTACAATTGTTCCTTTGAATGGACTTAATTATCTTGCTTGGTTGAAAGCTATTTCTCGTTCTCTATTTGGAAAATCTAAAGTTGGATACATAGAAAAAAATCATGAATCTTGAATTCAAAATACCTAATAGTGAGAAATATGAAACAAAAATACCTCAATATAGTGGTAACAAGACAACCAACAGATCTATCGATCAAACTACAACCACTCGAACCAATGGTTTAAAAAACGGATTGGTGCCCTGAATCGGGCACCCCAAAAACCCATCCGGATCAGTGA